CGTACTGAATGCCATGATCTTATATGACGAGTACCTCGGGGGCGAGGAACTTTATGCGCCGATGGTGCTTGATCTTAGCAACAGTGTTTTGGTAATACCGAGGACACGTGTCTTCATCATGGAGTATTTCAAAAAAGTCCCATCAACAACTACTCATGTAAAATTGTTAAAAACAAATCAATTCTCAACACCCTAACTTTTCATAATTCTTTATTTAACTTTCTAATTTTCCAAATAGTGGGATGGAAAAGAGGGGAAAGGCGAGGGAGGGAAATTCAAAGGGGAAAAAGATGGATAAAAATCTCGTGTNAGTGGGATGGAAAAGAGAGGAAAGGCGAGGGAGGGAAATTCAAAGGGGAAAAAGATGGATAAAAATCTCGTGTGCACGAGTTGGCTGATTTTCTTCCAAATATTGGATTATAAATCACCAATTTATATAAAATCTTTAAGTTGTTAGAGAGAGTGCAACATTATTATTTATCTACCATATAAAAGTCATTCATCACAATAAAGGATTTGAATATACCTTCTTCTTGGCTGGGCAAGAGGGAGCCATTGAACATCTGTAATAAGCTCGAGGTGATGGATTATCTTTAGTGACCTTCTGGCCATATTTTCTCCATTGAAATCCATCGTTCACCATCTAAAATCATAATGAAATTAAGAGCACATATAAATATTAGTCATCACCAAGTGTTTGGAGAGTCATACATGAACAACCTTTAAAGGACTCACCAAGCTCTTGTCATTTGGGTCGGTTCTGAAGAAAATTTGTGAAGGCTTGGTCACTGAAACATGGGTCCTCCCCCTCTTTTCTGAATCATATCTTGGTTCATTCTCTATTAGGACACTTCTAATTTGATCTTCTTTTATATTCTGGAGTTGGGCTTGAAGGATTTTGCATCCACTGGTCATAACTTCTAGGATGAATCTTAGATTTTCATTCTCCTTACCTAACCGTTGCAACTCCGACTGAAGATTTCCCACCTAAAAAAGAAGAAGACTGATTAGTCTTGGACAGTTTATTTGTGAAACTGTATGCATAGCTAAAAAACACACCACATCTAAAACCAGGTCATGATTATTCAAGGCGATTCTATAGTAATTCAATTAGCTATATAAGCCTTATTTAGCCACTCCGGAGCAACTGTTCCTAGCTATTATGACGGAATATTTTGTGAAAGAGTAACATTAGTTACGCACATATATATGAAAAGAATCAAGATCTGGTGATAAATTGAGAAAATGTTAATTATGACTTTTTTCAAGCTATCTTTGAATCACTAAATCTAATAGGAATCAATATCCTTTGGGATGAGTGATTACTTCAAATGCTATTTTCTATACTAAATCTTTCAAAATGAACTGATATAGAAGTCAATCTGTGCATATTTGCCTCAACTAAATAAACAAACTGAAAAAATATACTTCTTTACCTTTTCTTTATAAGTGAATTCTTCCATGGTTGTAGGCTGAATGGGATTCAGTTTTGAGGAGTGGCTGTTGGGAAACCAAAGATGAGAAAAGAAGTGATTATATGCATACAAATGCATATATTACAAATCAGGCAGCAACTGATAAGTTACCTATGCTTATGGGGTGGCTGCTGCAGCCTCTCTCTCTCTCTCTCTGGATCTGAGTCTTGGTCAATGGTCATAGTTATATGCAGGAAGGATGTTGGAA